CATAAAAGACATCAAGGGTGTGAGATAACAAATGACACAAGAGAAGATATTTGCATCATGCATAACCTTCAGATGGCTCATAGCCAGTGCTCTTACAAATCAGCCCTAACACAACAAATAGCAGAAAGGAGATAGGCAAGAGCATTGGATAGACACTTCTCAGATGAGGAAAATCCAAAAGATAAACACATGAAAAGGTGCTTAAACTCTCAGTAATTGGGGACAACATAAAACTGTAGTACTCTGTCACAACTTACATACAAGAATTGCTAGATTTTTGTAAAAAACTGACAGCATCAAGTGTTGTGAGGATGTGGAGCAGCAGCAACCTCCTACACAGCTGAAAGGAGTATACTTTGGTACAGCTGCTCTTGAAACAGTTTCACATCATCTCCTAAGGTTCAAGCTGTGCATGTCCTTAACCTAGCTATTTTCCTGAAGTATACTCCCAACAGAAATGTGTACACCAAGACACTTGTACATGAATGTTCATAGTATTGTGCATAATAACCTCAAACTAGAAACAACTCTGGAGAAGGCAATGGCACTCACTCCAGTACTCTAGCCTGGAAAATCCCATGGTTGGAGGAGCCTGGTGGGCTGCAGTCCGTGGGGTCGCTAAGAGTTGGACTCAACTGAGCGACTTCACTTTCACTTTTCACTTTCATGCATTGGAGAAGGAAATGGCAACCCACTCCAGTGTTCTTGCCTGGAGAATCCCAGGGACGGGGGACCCTCATGGGCTGCTGTCTGTTGGGTTGCACAGAGTCGGACATGACTGAAGTGACTTAGCAGCAGCAGAAACAACTCATATATATAATATCAACATTAGAATGGGTAAATAAATTGTGGTGTAATTATACAGTAGAGTATCTTACAGTATTGAAAATGAACACCCTACAGTTACACAAAGTGATATAGATGAATGTTACAAGTATAATGTTAACTGTAAAAGGCAAGACACAAAGTAGTAATACATAACATGATTCTAGACACATAAACTTCAAGAAGCAATAAAAATAAAACTACAGTGTTTAGAGTTACCTGCTTAAGGTGTGAAAGTGTAAAGAAAAACAAGGAAATGTGTATTGTAAGAGTCAGAATAATGGGTACCTTTGGGGAGGAAAGAAGTAAGGGTGATTGGGGAGGAGACCAAAGTGGGACTGTTCTGGGCTTTTTATTTCTTATGTTTTTTCTTATGTTTTGGCTCCTATGTTAGCGTGCATGTTTGTTTAAATCATTGAAGCTGTACAGTTTTGTATACTTTTTTAAAAGCAAACTTCATATTGTACAATTGTAAAAAGGTTTAAAAATGTAGAGAAAATGCTGGACAAGGTGGTCAGAGGAGACAGATTTCATGTAAAAGTTTGTTTTTAAAGAATGTTCATCAGTAACACTTAAATGCAATTAGATTTATACAAAACTTTCCTTTTGGTAGTTATTAAAGCTCAGTAAATAATAAATGCCTTCCTTCAGTAAGCACTGTATACCAGTAAGTAAGTACAGGCAGTCCTCATTTAGTATGGTAGTGTAGGACCAAAAAAAATGCCCATATAAGACAATAAAACTATACAAAATCATCTTATTAATCAGTGGGGAAAAATTACAGCTGTTCCATGATCTTTAAAAATTTGTCAAAACATTTAAAATTCTCCTATTTTAGTTATAAACATATAAGGAAATGAAAGAAAGTAAAGCTAATATAATTTAGTATAATAATTTAGTATAATGTTTCTAAATGTATTAGAAACTGAATTATAGTGCTAGTGCTTTATTTCTTGGTAAAAACTTACCAAGAGTAGTTTGAACAGTGCTTTGCCTTCTCCTTCTATAACTTAGAATAACAGAGCTAGTGGAATAAGCATCTTTTCTGTGCCTTGCAAATTGTCTTATTCTTTTCTACTAATTTTAGATCAGCTTCCAGCATTTTATTCTTTTGCACTTTGTGTCGTGAAATATCCCTCAGTCAGTTCAGTTCAGTTGCTCAGTTATGTCCAACTCTTTGCGACCCCATGAACTGCAGCACGACAAGCCTCCCTGTCCATCACCAACTCCCGGAGTTCACCCAAACTCATGTCCGTTGAGTCGGTGATGCCATCCAACCATCTCATCCTCTGTGGTCCCCTTCGCCTCGTGCCCTCAGTCTTTCCCAGCATCATGGTCTTTTCATATGAGTCAGCTCTCTGCATCAAGTGGCCAAAGTATTGGAGTTTCAGCTTCAACATCAGTCCTTCCAGTGAACACCTAGGACTGATCTCCTTTAGGATGGACTGGTTGGATCTCCTTGCAGTCCAAGGGACTTTCAAGAGTCTTCTCCAACACCACAGTTCAAAAGCATCAATTCTTCAGCACTCAGCTTTCTTTATAGTCTAACTCTCACATCCATATATGACCACTGGAAAAACCATAACCTTGACTAGACGGACCTTTGTTGGCAAAGTAATGTCTCTGCTTTTTAAAATGCTATCTAGGTTGGTCATGACTTTCCTTCCAAGGAGTAAGCGTCTTTTAATTTCATGGCTGTAGTCATCATCTGCAGTGATTTTGGAGCCCCCAAAAATAAAGTCAGCCACTGTTTCCACTGTCTCCTCATCTATTTCCCATGAAGTGATGGGACCGGATGCCATGATCTTAGTTTTCTTAATGTTGAGCTTTAAGCCAACTTTTTCACTCTCCTTTTTCACTTTCATCAAGAGGCCCTTTAGTTGTTCTTCATTTTCTGCCGTAAGAGTGGTGTCATTTGCATATCTGAGGTTAATGATATTTCTCCCAGCAATCTTGATTCCAGCTTGTGCTTCCTCCAGTCCAGCTTTTCTCATGATGTATTCTGCATATAAGTTAAATAAGCAGGGTGACAATATACAGCCTTGACGTACTCCTTTTCCTATTTGGAACCAGTCTGTTGTTCCATGTCCAGTTCTAACTGTTGCTTCCTGACCTGCATACAGGTTTCTCAAGAGGCAGGTCAGGTGGTCTGGTATTCCCATCTCTTTCAGAATTTTCCACAGTTTATTTTGATCCACACAGTCGAAGGCTTTGGCATAGTCAATAAAGCAGAAATAGATGTTTTTCTGGAACTCTCTTGCTTTTTTGACGATCCAGCAGATGTTGGCAATTTGATCTCTGGTTCCTCTGCCTTTTCTAAAACCATCTTGAACATCTGAAAGTTCACGGTTCACATATTGCTGAAGCCTGGCTTGGAGAATTTTGAGCATTACTTTACTAGCATGTGAGATGAGTACAATTGTGTGGTAGTTTGAGCATTCTTTGGGATTGCCTTTCTTAGGGATTGGAATGAAAACTGACCTTTTCCAATCCTGTGGCCACTGGTGAGTTTTCCAAATTTGCTGACATGTTGAGTGCAGCACCTTCATAGCATCATCTTTTAGTATTTGAAATAGCTCAACTGGAATTCCATCACCTCCACTAGCTTTGTTCGTAGTGATGCTTCCTAAGGCTCACTTGACTTCAAATTTCAGGATGTTGGCTCTAGGTGAGTGATCACACCATCGTGATTATCTGGGTCATGAAGATCTTTTTGTACAGTTCTTCTGTGTATTGCTGCCACCTCTTCTTAATACCTTCTGCTTCTGTTAGGTCCATACCATTTCTGTCCTTTATTGAGCCCATCTTTGCATGAAATATTCCCTTGATATCTCTGATTTTCTTGAAGAGATCTCTAGTCTTTCCTATTCTATTGTTTTCCTCTATTTCTTTGCATTGATCACTGAGGAAGGCTTTCTTATCTTTCGTTGCTATTCTTTGGAACTGTGCATTCAGATGCTTATATCTTTCCTTTTCTCTTTTGCTTTTCACTTCTCTTCTTAACTAAGAATTCCTTTATTGTGAAGTTTTTTGTTGTTGTTACTTCTTTTGGGACATATTTTTGCGACAACTACTTTCCGCATTTCAATGATTTTACCTTCACTAAATTCCTCTTGACTGCATATCTCGTGTCTCTCAAATAGTGGTAGTGGCAACATTCCCACAATCAGCTATTTTTTTCTGTTAATACACTTATTTGAATCAATTTGAATTTCACTCCAATGTCATCATTTTTTCTTTCTTTGCCACATTTTTATCATTATTGGCCAGTTCTCTCTTTCAGTTATCATTTTGTAAAATTTCACATGAGTTTATCATTGGGAGGCAAGAAGATAAACTACATTCTTTGCTGTCTGTAGGTAAACTGAGTAACAGATAAGAAGTCACCTTTCACCAACAGAGTTTGAAAAAAGTGATATGATTGGTCACTGAAATGATATTCCTCTTATTAACACAGTAACTTGTGAACTGAAGTGCCTGCAAAGGAATTTGTATTTATGTAGTTAGTTAGTATACTGTAGTAAGTCAAATTAGAACCATGTTGTTGGGGGACTGGTATTATTTAACTGATCTGTGGAAGCTGAAATTTGTGCATATGGGAAGCCTGGGAAGTAAGGACTGATTGTAATTCAAAGAAGGTTGATCAATTAAATAAATATTTTTGTTTGGTTTTGATGAGATTGAAGATTACACGGACTATTTGATTTTTGAGTTATTGAATGCCTAATACATTTTATGTGGAAAAGTAACTTTGATGCTAATCTTGCAGCTTCTTTAATCCTCTTAGATAATTCCTTACAGAGGACCTTCCATACTAACTTTCTAGAACAAAACCTCTAGTTGTAGTAAGTAAAATCAATGGTGTCAAGAGAATAATAGTCATAATGATTATGAATTGATCATGAAGCAGCTGACATTGAAAGTAAGTTTTAAAAAATGTTTCATATAATATTGACATCCTAATAATTGATAAGAATGTTAAATCATTTTTATTAAAAATGTTAAATCAGTTTTATTTAGTCAGGTGTGACTCCATTTTCACTGTCTTCATACTAGTAAATATTTTATTATGAAATGTGAAATATAAGGTCTCACTCTGTGTTGGTTAAGACTGAAAAATGTTAATTTATTGTATGATTTCCTACAGGTGAACTGGCACAAAGGTCGATCTCAAGATGCCATTAGTGAAAAGAAACATTGATCCTAGGCACTTGTGTCACACAGCACTGCCTAGAGGAATTAAGAATGAACTGGAATGTGTGACCAACATTTCCTTGGCAAATATAATTAGACAACTAAGTAGCCTAAGTAAGTATTTTTACATCAATTAAAAATGTTACTCACAAACCAGAGTTACACATTGGGGTGTTAAAACAATATTCTTGTGACTAATTTGGTGGGGGGGGATAGTTAATAAGAAGAGTACAGAATTATCTAATTATTTTGAAAAAAAGTGTCATTTTAATAAAATTAATGCATTTTAGAATCATTTCTTCTCTTGGATCTGGGGAAGGGAAATAAGGACAGAATCTTTTAGGAACAGAATCACATGGTACATAAGAATTATACTGAGATTGTTTTTAAAATATGATTTGGACTATAGAAGGTGGTGGTAGAGTTGTACTTTTGCTTGCTTGTTATCACTATTTACTTTTCTAGAGGCTTCAGCTATTTGTGTTTTGGGATACTAGTATCTCTTTATATCTTATTAGCCTAGGGATATATTTTTATATTATCAAATATCTAAAAGTGAAACATGTGGGATAGTAACTGACTAGTCGAGGATTAGGTTAGTCAAGAGGATTGTCTAAAGAACATTAGCATATGAGTCAAGTGTCTGATTTGTAGCCTGATGGCAGACAGAAGGCCAGCAGACTGGCCAGATAATACAGGCCAATGGAAGGGACAGGTTAAGGGAGGAGGTGAAGGTCAGTCTGTTTCCATTATAAGAGTTTATAACAGAGCTACAGAGCTGCTAGGTTAAGGAATTATTTCCCATTTATTCTAAATGTAATGTTAGAAAAAATTTTTTAATCCAGTTTATCTTTTGAATTGAAGGATTTGCTTTTTATTAGACATTTACATTTTATTTTAAAGACAAAATAAGATGTTTTTGGTCTAGATATCATCTCTAAGTAGTCCTAGATCTGTCAGCCATACCCACCTACACAGATTGTCCTTAATAGCCAGGAGTGACTCCTCTTTTCTTTTCCTATTAACTTTTGTCTTTTTATAATTGAGTACTTAGCACAAGGTAAAATGAGCTTGTTAATCTGATTTGTTTCAAGTGAGAGCATTTGGACATATTCATGTAGCCAGAGCAACATAAAGTTGTATTTTAATGTTCTTGGTGAGAGCACTAAATTTCTACATTGCTTGTGAAATAGTTGTAAGAGTAAATTAAAAGACTGTTTATTTGAATTTAAGTATATTCTTTGTTCCACTTGGTGTGTTGTTTTTTTTTTTCCAGGTTAGATATTGGCTGTGAATCACTAACATATTGTTTATTTATTTCTTTCTTGAGCAATTCAGTATAAAGTGTACTTTTGAAACAAGTCAAAAGAAAAGTCCAAGAAAGTATTAACATATGATTAATACATTGTTTAAAGTCATTTTCTAGTACTAACTGGTTTTATATGTTGTATTCTAATAATATAACATAACATAACTTCATTTAAAATTTATATATGCTATATGTAAATAGGTGCATCAGCTTGTTAATATTAAAATGCATGTTAAGAGCATAGAAATGACATTAATAAGTTTGGTTAAAATATTTCTTCAAAATGAATGTTAGATCTAATATAGGCATCTTATTTTAGGTGTATTTTCAGTATAGAATTTAGAACTAATGTAATGATTAAGAGTGTCAATTTTGCAGTATTAACCCATTTCTCATATAACATAAAGGCAAAGAATTTTCATGTCTGGTATAGACAGTCCATTATAAGCAACATATGTCAGCCAGTACATGGTTATGCTGTAACCAAGCTCCGAAAATAGAAATACATTGTAAAATATAACTAAATTAGGCTTTGAGTGCTTCGGACTTGGAATCAGAGACTATAGAGGCATTTTCATGGTAGTTTGTAGAGATTCAAAAAAGAAAAAAGAGAAAAAGCATAAAATATTGTAGCAAGGTATAACATTAGTTTACCACGCTAAAATTAAGCTCTCTGGCAACTTTCCCACTTGACATAGTTGAGAACCTGGAATTAAATTTAAAAGACCTCAAGATAGCGAGAATAAACAAGTCCAGGCTGAAGACCATGTACATAAAATAGCCAGTTGATCCCTCTCCAGGTTTGTTTGCTTTTACTTTGATAATTCAGACAGGTTAATGATGTGGTTTCCAAACATGCATGCTTCAGAGAATTAAAAAAGGAAATGTGGGGGAAGGGGGATGCCAGTAACAGAAGTAGGCATTACTGAAGCCAATCAAAAGGTATAGTTTATAGCGAAGGAAGAAGTGACATAAGAGGAAAAGCAACATAAAAACTGGAACGAGGCCATTTAATGTAACCGCATTTAATGTAAAATTATACATTTTAATGCTGTTGTTTCTCATAATCAATTTATGACTTTGAGTCCTCAAAAACAGGTTAAATTATGTTTAATTTTTATTTAAGACAGGAAAACTTAGAGTAGATTTTATTTCAGTTTCCATCCAAAACAGTTAAAATAATAATTAATGCATTAAATAATCTCTGAACTACTTATAACACTAGGCTATTCAGAATGGTTCTACGTAATACATATTTCCACTTTGATGCTAATCCTAGCACCAAAAGTGCTATAGCACTTTCACAGTAGTGAAGGTCTACTCCAGGGCTCAGGTAGCTTGGGGCTGGACATTGTTCTGACCTCTTCCTTACAAAAATATACATCCAGTTCAGTTGTTTTTCCTAGTAGAACACAATTATGTTTTATAATAGATAATTACTGAAAGCCTATTTGCTTTATTTAAATTTCTTCTGCTATTCCAAAATTTTCCCCATTATTACTACTACTACTTAAGTAGTTGCTCAGTCTTGTCTGACTCTATGTGACCCCATGGGCTGTAGCCTACTAGGCTCCTCCATTCATGGGATTTTCCAGGCAAGAGTACTGAAATAGGTTGCCATTTCCTTCTCCAGGGGGTCTTCCTGACCTTACCATCTGAGCCACGAGGGAAGCCCGTGTCTTATTTAACAGCCATTGGCACTCTTACTTATGTGAGAGATCCTTCAGTGTTTTCTCTTCCCAGGGCCTTTCTCTTGTTGAATATAGCCACTTTGATCTGCCAAGATGAACTGATAGAGCCTACTTCTTGTTCTCAATCAGAAAATTTCACAGGTAGCAATGTAGATGGGTAAGAGGGTAGATAAATAGATTGGCTCTATAAGACTAATTAGATAGTAGATAATGGGCAGATAACACTGAATATTTTACTATGTGATGAAGGTACATGTTTTTTGTCCTGAAAGAACACACCCCATGTAGTTGAAGAGTCTAATATGATGAATGCTGAAACTATTCTGTGAGTTTCAAACAGTGTGAGCATGTATATAATTAAAAACCATGAGTTTTAGATGATAGGAACTGAGATAAGAGAGATAACCATAGGTGAAGTCATAAGAGGAGGCTTACTGAATGAATGTGGGTTGAACTGGGCCTTTAAGGAACAGAAGAATTTGGAAAATGTAGAGGAAGGAGAAGGAAGGCCTTTCGACTTGTTTGAAGAAGTAAGCAAATGAATGGAGGCAAAAATAAATATATGAGTTTTTTTTTTTTTGGCTGCACAGCATGTTGGGGTCTTAGTTCCCCAACCCGAGATCCCTGCAATGGATGCACAATCTTAACCACTGGACTGCCAGGGAGGTTCCATGTGAGAGGGATTAAAGGTGCAAATGATATTAGACATATATGGTGGAGCTTGATATAGAGGATAGTGTTAGATGAGAGGATTTAGATTTTAACATCAGAGATAATGAGACCTCACAGCTTCTTGGGTAGAGACAGTAGTATAATAAATGTAAGTTTAGTTGAAATTCAGGTACATAGACAATGAGCTTTCCATTGCGAACTTTATTCATTTCACCTTTCTCTGGGATAGAAGGAGGAGGTAGATTTAGAAAGTAAGAAGGGACATGAAAATAGAACAAATGGGATGTCTATCTTATGTACATCAGTGCTTTGGCACTTAAACCTGAAGTGGGGGAAGTGTAGACTTTATTTAAAAAATCTGTTTAAAAAAGAAAAAAAACAAATCCAAAACCTGTGGGCTCTCTTTCCCAAAATATACAAATGCATTAGAAATCTGCATATAATTGCAGGTGGTATACAGACTGTAAGTTAAAGATCCGTGTATTAAACTTAGTTCTTTCAGGAATAGAATTGTCTCTTCCATCTTTGTATCTCTTAACATTTGATAAATAAATGAGTAACTTTATACTTGCCTTTTCTTCCACCTGTAATGCCTCTCTTATCTGCCAGAGAAACTGTCTCTGGAAGTTTCTCTAATACCATCCCACACCCAAAAGTTTAGATGCTTCTTTCTCTGTGCTCTGTGGCTCTGACCTTGTTTTATAGTAAGAGCTGCCTGTTGTTAAGCTCCTGTCCTGTATCAGGTACTCTACCATTGCCCTTCCCCCTGGGTTTTTTTTTTTGCTTCTTTTTCTTATAATGTCTTTGAAGGAGATATTTTTATTTCTATTTTACAGGTGAGGAAATTTATACCAAGCCCTCAGAGTGAAGGGAACAAAGATTTGGACTTAATTATTAAATTGGTTTTCATTTTTATTTAAATGTCTGTTTCTCCCTCTTCAAAACTTGTCAGTTGCAGAGACCTTCTTCAATCATTTTTCTGTCTCCAGGATCTAGAACATTGGCATTTTGGTTTAAAGAATATTTGTGAGCAAATGAACATGTATAAAATTATCCTTTTTCTCTTAATTATAAAGAAATTAAAATTCTGATTTTTTTGCCTAAAGATTATAAAATCTTCTAGGATAGGAATTCTGTGTTTTATTTTTTGGTGTCTTCAGTAGAAAATAACACCTACCAGGCACAGTTTACTGAACCCTCAGTAAACATTTGTTGATTTAACTGATAATGTACTAAAGTACTTTGGGAAAAAAACAGCCATTGTTCAAATGTAAACTGGTGAGATTAATGAATTCATTCTGTAAGTATGTAAGTACCCTGTTACAGGTTATAGAGCTTACTGTTGAGCCTCATTTAACCTAGACACTATGCTTGGGTCTAAGTTGTCTTGATTTAGGAAGACAATCAATTTTTTTTTAATTCAAGGTATAGATAGTAATTGGCTTATCTTTATATTGTGAGTATTCATTTGTTTATATATTCTAAATACAGTTGAATTTTTTTTAATTTCAAAATTATTTTAATAGCATAAAACAAGCGTAAAATCAATCTGCATGCCCACTAGCAAGGAAATAGTTTAATAAATTTCGTTTTACAGTTATGAAATGTTATGCAACTATTAAAAATGTCATTATTAGTTTACATTTCCATGTATATAATTTTGGTGAGAAAAGCAAAATGCCAAAAATACATATAAAACAAAATCATAAAAACTCCTACATATGTATGTAAGTTTGGATATGAACTTTATAACTATGGAGAAAGATGTGAAAGGCTATACACCAAGCTGTCAACATTGATTACCAGGAAGAATGAGTGGGGAAGATCTACAAAATAAGTATCTTAGTGAAGAAAAGCATGCAGTGTGAGCCTGCTGATGTAGAAGGAAGGGGCAGGGGGTTATATATACATGCATATGTATGTATTTGTGTAACTAAACCCATGATTATTACAGTAGTGGTTAAAAACTGCTGGCTGGCCTTTGCCAGCCGAAGATCCTGCTGCTGCTAAGTCACTTCAGTCGTGTGAATATATTTAAATTCTAGGTCATCTGAAACTTCTCCCTGACTTTTTTATTAGATAGAAATTTTTATTTCTCCTTTTCGAATGGGATTATTTTGGTTTATTCTTTTCATAATGGAAATTTACATGACTGGAGGAATACAGTGATTTTAGATTTATGATTTTTTAAGAAACTAGAATGAGAGAAAATGTAAAATATATCTCATAAATTTTCAGAATCTATGTTTTGGGCATACCTGAGATTTGATCATCTATTAGGTTTATAAAGAATCTTGCATTCTGTCACTTGGCCTGAAATTCAGTTCTAGTGTAGACTCTGTTTATGATTGCTGATTTGGGATTAAGAGATGTATTATTTATTTTTAGTTTACATCATAACCTTTCTAACCCTTAACAGGTATATAAAGGGACGTGAAAGTGGTGTATAGATAGGGGTAAAGCAGGAGAGTACTTCCATTTTAGCCACAAGTCACCTACCGGAAAGTGGTAGATCTAGTATTTAAAACCATATTTCCTAGGGTTTGTTTTTTCCAACTCTATCACAGTTAGATTACTGTAGGTGAGGGTTTAAAGTTTAAACTAGTTTCAAATAAATATCAAATGCATTGGGGCAGCATTTTAAATGTTAAATTGGTTTATATTTATCTCTGATAACTTTAAACTTTATGGTGTATGCTTCATTTTTGCTTAGGTAAATATGCTGAAGATATATTTGGAGAATTATTCAATGAAGCACATAGTTTTTCCTTCAGAGTTAACTCATTACAAGAGCGTGTGGACCGTTTATCTGTCAGTGTTACACAGCTTGATCCTAAAGAAGAAGAATGTAAGTTTATGCATATTTTCTTTCACATGTATGTTTTTGGTTAGGTAGGATGAGTGATATATATATATAAGAACAGTATTATACATGAATTTATTTAAAAAAAACAGCTGGGAGAAATGTGCTTCCATTAATCAAAGAGACACACAAAAAACATGAATTTACTGCAAATATTTTTTACCCACGACCTTTGTTGTGCATGTTGTAATAGGTTGGTGGCTTATCTGTAAATGCCATCAGCATGACTCTCCTGAGTTGTCTACTCTTTTTTTCTTCTTCTTGTCTATTAAATAGCTCTTCATTTTTTGACATAAATTTTTTTTAAGCCAGACTTTTCTTCCATTTTCTTTCTCTTTTCTTTCTCCCTTGTAATTTTTATATATTTATTTATGACTGTGCTGGGTCTTCACTGCGTGCGGTGGAGGCTTCTCATTGCAGTAGTTTCTCTTGTGGCAGAGCACATGCTTTAGGCAAGCAGGCTTTTAGTGGTTGTGACCTGTGGGCTTAGTATCTCCCTTATAATTTATTTGTATACTTTTGTCTTAAAAATAAAAATTTGAAAATTATCTGAAATTCTTAGGTTTGATTTTTTTTTTTTTTTTAAGAATGAAAATTCCTTTTAATATGCTTTTATATGTGCAAATTGCTAAAATCACCAGAATCTGATCTGGTTATTTAAATGTTACTTCCCATTTTTAATGAACATTCCCTCCCCTCCAAAAAAAAAACAAAACCCCAAATTGCCAATATATAGGACAAAAATGTTCTATAGTGAGATATTAAGCTAGGGATATCAGCTTAAAAAATCACATTACAGGCTAAAATAATGGTAGAAACTTCAGTGGTAAAACATTTCATGCATTGATAGAATATATTGAATGTTGTTGTTTCTCAAATGGCTCTGTTTTTTTGTTTGTTTTTCTACCAAGAGAAATGAAATTATTAAGAACATAATTTTTGCCTATCTACCCTAGAGAATTATTTAATGTGAATCTCTTATAATACTCTGTTCTAAATATTTTTTGTGGAATAGCATTTTTATTTAACTAAGTTATTTATCTCAACTTAAGCAATAAAAATACTAAAGGATATCACTGGAAGAATCAAAAGGTAATTTTGCTACCTTTTATATAGCAAATATATAAAATATAAGGATGTTTTAGTGATTGAACCAACAATTTCTGACATAACCTAATTTAATGCCTAAATAAGGAGAGGTGAATACTTCCTATGCCAAGTTTCCTTTGCATGCGAAGATACAAGCTCACAGGTCTAGATATGAGAAAAAACCAAGACAGTATTTTTTTTTAAAAAAAGAAAAGTTTATTGAGGTATATTTCATATACCCTACAGTTTTACCCCTTATAAAGTTAAAGTGTATGATTCAGTGGAATTGAGTATTTTCTCTTTTCTCTGTTACGTGACTGTCACCACAGTCGGTTTTAGAACATTCTCCTCACCCCAAAAAGAAACCCTATATCTAATGGAGTTATTTCTCATCTCCCCTTCTCCCTGGCCTCTAGCAATCACTGTCTACTTTCTATCTCTTTGGATTTGCCTGTTCTAGACATTTCATATAAATGGAATTGTATAGCATATGATTTTTTGTGACTGGCTTCTTTTATTTCTTAGCATAATGTTTTCAATACTGGTTCATTTTGTAGAATGTATTGGCATTTCCCTGATGACTAATGATGTTGAGCATCTTTTCATGGCTTACAAGCTATTTAGAGACAAGTCACCCAGCAAGAAAATGGTGGATAGGATTAAAACCAGGTCTTTCATCCTAGTTAACTCTGAGTGAAGTGGACCAAGTGCACAATTTTGAGAGACTCTACAAACAGGGAGTGGATTGTTGGTATTTGGGTGACATGAAATGAGGGAAAGTCAGTCTGGTCATTCCAGATCTTTTTTTTGTCCGGGATATCTAGATGTCTATCTCATACCTCTTGTTTTTAAATGTTAACAACTGCAACTAGTTCAGTGAAAAACAAGTAAAACAAAAATGATTCTGTTTGTGCAAAGGGCTGGATCTGGACTTTACATTGTACCAGAAGTCTTATGACAGAATTGTCAATAGATAGTTAGCATGTGCTTTTTCCTTTAATAAAACTACAGTCAAACGTAATTCACAGTTCAGTTCAGTCACTCAGTCGTGTCCGACTCTTTGCGACCCCATGAATCGCAGCACCCCAGGCTTCCCTGTCCATCACCAACTCCCGGAGTTTACTCAAACTTAATGTAAAAAAATAATAATAAAAAAATAGTGATCTGATTTTTTAAGAAAACAGGGTTTAAACGATTTACTGGCCATTTGTGTATCTTCCTTGGAAAACGGTTCAGATCCGTCTCCTATTTTTAATTTGGATTATTTTTCCTTTTATTGTTGAGTTATGCAAATTCTATACATACATATTCTGCATCCAAGTCCCAAATCTTATGATTTGGAAAGATTTTCTTTCATTCTGTGGTGATTTTTTTCTTGGTAGTATCCTTTGAAACTTGTTTGTGTATATCAGTTACACATCATGAAATTTGTGAAGTAAAAATCACTGCTAATATTTAAAAAAAATTTATGGCCATACTTTCAAATATATAATTTGTATTCAAAATTCCTTTTTAAAATAATTTAAATGTGTAAAAAAAATTAAATAATTTAAATATGTAAGTTACAAGTGCTTTTCATTTAAAATATACACAAGCAGCTGTTTTATGTAACAGAAATAAAAATTAACATTAAGTTTCAAAATATTGTTAAATTTTAAGATACTTTAGCACTCCCATTAAAATTGAAAATGAAAATATAGATACTAGTAAATAACTTAAGATAGTTTTAAGTGTTTAAAAAAATTCTTAATGTGCCTACAACTATCAGAATTATTTGATTTCCTTTAAAATTATATCGAGCTTTGGGGAAGAATTCAGAATCTTAAAGTTGAACTACTTAATTTGAAATTGTCTTGGGGATGTTGGATAGAGGAATTTTCAAAGTTATTTAACCTAGATTTTTTAACTCCATTACAGTTCAAATAAAATAACATTGTGAGTAGAATAATAAATTACAGAATGTAACATCAGTATTTTGGATTTTTTAATTACCATTAAATAGTAATAGAACTATCATAATAGTTTAGAATGGGTGAAAAACTGAGTTTTAAACAAAGATCTGTACAATTATATTTAGTTCAGTATGTTTACAAACATTTTGCTGACTTGGGTTATATAACACTAAGTAATATGTCATTGTTGGCAGCTTCAAGGGGCTTTGTCACATTGGTCTGTTAACAAATGAGAAATGATAATTAAGAGGAACTGAAGAATGAGAAATGCTTATTACTTTACATGTTCTTTATATTCTTTACTAAGAAAGTTTTGGGAGATTAAACACTAGGTTTTATATTTAATGGTTAATAAGTGGGATAGGATAGTGGCAAGAATTGGTTCATTTTGATTGCAGAAAACAGAGGCCACTTCTGACATGAGCCAGGGGAACAGTATACGGTATTGTGGCAAAGAGATTAGCCTCAAAGGCAGACAAATCTGCATTTTCTGTTCTAGCTCTACTGTTTATTAACCAATTTATCTTGGTCCAGTTATGTAATATTTTCTATTTTTATATGTTTATAAATGGCATAATAATTCCTATCTCATTAAGTTATTATAAAGGTTAAGTAAAAATCTTAACATCTACCACTATAGTTTGTACTCATTAAATATCTCTCATATTACTTTTTAGTGATAGTGGAAAAATTTGTTTTCCTTCTTTGAATTTTATTTTGTTGTTTTTAAGTGTGTTATAAGTCAGGTAGCAGTGGAATTGCTGGGGATGCAGTCATATTGTGGCTATTGCACAGCCAGCCTTATTGCTTCACTTACTTCATAGATCCAAACATTTGTGTTGAGTGTATTTTACTTGTGAGGATGAAAGAGATACTATTTTAGGGAGGAAGATAATTTAGGACTCGTTATGATTATTTAGTACTGACCTTTTTATGGCATAAAGCATTTATCATACTAAAAATCATATGCAAATATATATATTTCAATATAAAGTCACCTAATTTTTTTAATATCAAGAAATTACTCTAAGAGTTAAGAATCTAGTATTTTGGCACATTTTTATTTAAACATGCTGCACAGTCCAAAAGAAGATGAGTAAATGAAGTTATTTTAAATCCTCATATGTATTACTTACTAGAGGTACTGTAAGTAATAAATTGTGTTACTTACTAGAGGTACTAATGTATAAGACAGCTTCAGTCTTTAAGAACTTGTAGTTAATTGGAGATCTTTATAGTACAAGATAAAAGAAAGGTGAAACAGGCAATAATACAGATTGTCCAGTACTTGAAAATTTCATTTTCTTTACAGTAGATTTATTTTAACTTTATAGTCCATGTTACAATATTTATAATCTTTATAGCATAGAGGGCAATACTGTGTTTAGCCCAGAATACCACTAATAGCGAAGCAATTCCTTTAGTGTTATTGGTATAAGCTAAATAAAAGTAATAAAGGGGGATGGAAAAAAGATTATAGGAAAAAAAAGAGGAAAATGTAGGTTGATGAGGGATAGTATGGTAAGTAGAGAAAAGAAAAAGATGTTTTGATGGAAAATGTAAAATGTGCTTCAGGTGTCATTAGAGCTTTCTGAGCCTTAGAAATCAGAGGTTGCATTAAAGTCCATCTAATTGGGAAAATAAAGCACAAAATGATTTGTGATATAATGATAAGAGCATTTATTTTTAAAAATGTGGTTCTTAATTCATAAGCCACTACAGTCACAGCCTTTTGACTTTTAAACAAATACAGTGTGTGAATTTGTCCTTATGTTAAATCATGTTAGTAAGATAAAATGATACATATTGGATTTTTGTTTTAGTATCTTTGCAAGATATAACAATGAGAAAAGCCTTCCGAAGTTCTACAATTCAAGATCAGCAGCTTTTCGACCGTAAGACTTTGCCTATTCCATTACAAGAGACATATGATGTTTGTGAACAGCCTCCTCCTCTCAATATACTCACTCCTTACAGGTCAGTAGGCTAATAAATAAGGCTGGTTACTTATCTCAGACTTCAAGTTCAAAGAGGTCTAACTTTAAATGCTAAATCCCGAAACACTTTTTTATTTCACTGGATTCCTGACCAATGCAGAGACCCCTCCGTAGACAACACCTTTAGAAAACCTTTGCTTTATTCACTAGGTGAGTTCCCAGGATTCTGGCATACAAATCAAAGGGGTTGTTTTGACAAATATTTTTAAGAAAAGCCAATGGCAGATATTACTCTAAAGGGACAAGGAGTTGTTACTGTCTTTTTAATTTCTAATTTGATAGAGAACAAAAAGAGTTCAAAATCTCACATTAATAAAATAAATATCATTTTTTCTTGTTCTTATCTACTCTTGATCTGTATGCATCATATTTTTGTGTAATGAATATATAGTATCTGTTTTTAATTTTTTTTTTGCCATTTAAAAAAAATCTAGAGTTATTCAGCCTTTCTTTGAGTCTTTCACATAAATTGTTAAATGAGGAATTTAAGAGGCATAACACATCCTAAATGAAATGGTATTCAGATAGTTATTTGAAACTATGTCAGTATGCAAGTAATTGGATATAGCTATTACTATTAGAATAACTATTTGGTGACATTTTTTTTCTGTTTGATAAGATGATAGTAAGAGTATTGGCAGAAACTCTGTATAATTTCTCTGTTCTGTTATCCTTTCAGGCTTTGATCTTTGGCAGAATCATTTGTAATTATTGAAATTTCCCATAGGACTTATAGAAAATTTTGTATTCAGTAGAAGTTAGGGATAAAAATTGTCCAATTGTACTTTATTAACACAAACTCTGCAAAACTTCTGGTTTTCCATTTTCCTTAGTTTCCTGTCTGATTTGTGAGAAATGTTCTATTGGTGCATATTCTGATTTACTTTGCCAGTATTTTTACACATGCTTTATTTTGTTAATGTAAGAAGAAACAATTTTTGTAAAATAATTTCTATTCTGATTGCCTAAGGCTTACTAATGTATATTTTCATTGATATTTTATATTTCAGAGATGATGGTAAAGAAGGTTTGAAGTTTTATACCAATCCTTCATACTTCTTTGATCTTTGGAAAGAAAAAATGTTACAGGATACAGAGGATAAGAGGAAGGAAAAGAGGAAGCAGAAGGTATTACAAGAAATTCAGAAAATTGAAGTTAGTTTTCATGTATTTGTGTTTTGTTGCATATGTGCAACTTTATTAATTCTATACTTTGACAGTTTTATTTTATTTGGTCCATATAGTAACCACACAGAAAGATCACAGTCCAGTGGGGTGCAAATATGGTGTGATAAGTACCCTAACAGAGGTATGCATGGAGAGTTTGAGTAGCACAAAATAGCACCAGCTCTAGACAGGATGGGCCTGATTAACACTTCAACAAAGCTTGTAATGAATCTTAAAGAACAAATAAGAATTAAGTGGACCAGGGAAGAGAAAGGCATTCTACTGAAAAAGAACGAAGGAACATTGTACAGATATTGGTAAAGTAGATTAGTTAATGTTCTCTTACCACAGAGCATATCCTAAATGCCCTGAAAAGATTATAACATTTTCACTAAACTCCTGTTATCTTTCTGCTGTATTGTCATTTTCTGTTTTCTGATGAAATTCACTTGGATCTGTTTTATTCCATATTAATGATAACTAGAAATATAAAAGAAAGAAGCACAGTTGGATTTAGGCAGAATTATGAAGGTGGCGAAGTTTGTCTCTATCATCCCTCTGTTTCTCCTGTAGCTACTTCTGCTTTCCCTGCACTGCTCCATAATGCCTGCAAGTTATTATTTTGTGCACTAGACAGTGTACCAGTGTTCTAGCCAGAGTTTGCAAACTGGTGACTGGTAGCCCAGGCTATGCTTGCAAGCAGTTTTGTTTGACAAACACAGTGGTTTTTAAATTTTTGAACTGAAATCCCTTAGATGGTCATGCGCATCTAGTTCCCTGCAGGCCTCATCTTATACCTCTTACCATTCAAATATGTTACCTGCTAGATCCCTTTGGCATTTGACTTTTTTGTATCTTTCCTTTCTATACTTGTTCTCCCACAGTTTGAGTCACTTTCTGTTTTATTTTTCAAATACCCTATTTTCTGTTGAGTGACACGGTTATTATGGTTTAATTGGGCAATTGGATTTTTTTTCTAATGGTATTGGCTAGCTAATTAGTCACTTCTCAGGTCACATAACCTTAGTACTAGTTTCCAGTTTGGGCTGGAAAAATTAATGGTAGAAATTTCACTCATTATACCAAAAACTAATAGATGAGGGAGCAGAGTTGATGAATTTTTTTTCATCTGAAAGGACTTTCTGACCTCAAGTTTTATTCCTCAGATATACTGTTTTTATCTGATACATCAATTCCAAGTAGAGGTTAAAAAAACATTAGAAAATGGGATTACAAGCAAACTCCTCTAACATTTAACTCTGAATGCACAAACTGTCTGTCTTGTTTTTACCGTACTATGATGAGTTATTCTGTTGTTATTTTTACTATACTATGATGAGTTGCTTTTTCAATATTGATGTTAGAATTCTATTTTGATTGTCTTAACTTCTTTTTGAAAACATAGAATTTAAGCATTTGGCTTTGTTTCAATACATCTGTTATAGCAGAAAAATCTAGATCGTCCTCATGAACCAGAAAAAGTGCCAAGAGCACCTCATGACAGGCGGAGAGAATGGCAGAAGCTGGCCCAAGGTCCAGAGCTGGCTGAAGATGATGCTAATCTCTTACATAAGCATATTGAAGTTGCTAATGGCCCAGCTTCTCATTTTGAAACAAGGTTTCTTTTCTTTTGTTTGTTTTTTAACAAAATTTATGATGAAACACTGGCTTTATTTCTAGTATCTATATGTCTAAGTCTTAGGTCCTGAACTGTTGAATTGATAGACGATGTTCTATAAGTATTAAGATGATTTTGAAACCCTAACCATTGTGAGCCTACTGAAGTCTGATCTTGGGCAGGTCATTTTTGTACCTGGATTTCAGTTTTGTCATCTGTAGAAAGAAGTGGTTGAAGCAGATGATCTTCAGCTTTATTTTAACTTTCATATGAAGTCTCAGGTCCTTCTCAGTAGTTCAGGCTGAGTCTCTTAAAATTTCATAACAGAGTAATGGGGGTCTGGATTTTTTTTGACGTATTATTGATTCACTATATATAAAACAGGAGTTGAGAAGGGGTTATATTTTGTTCTTTTTCTTTCCCCTGATTTCCTTTCTGGGTCACATTTTCTACCTCAGATATATCAGGACTTTCAAACAAAATCACTCATCTCCATTTGCAGAAATATACAATAGGTCCTTCTCCTTTCTCAGTAGCCAGGGGCCCTATCTAACTAACATGCAACCCTAACAAACATTATACTAGTATCTCTTTGTGAAGAAATTTGTGTACAGTTGATTTCAGTTATTATTATATATCTTATAGTTATTGATTTTTTTCAATGGAAAAGCACTTGAGACATTCTTTTGAATAATACCTGTAAATGATTAGGTCATAAATATAAATTATCTTGTTCTATTTTAGGAGTAATATACATGATACTGTCTATATACAGTACTGAAAGAAAGAGGCTGAAAGAATTGATTTTTTAAACTAATAATGATAGACAAACATCTGTTTCTAATCACTGTTAAGTAATTGAGATATTGCTGACCCAATAGTGTAAATATAATCATTTCTAACTTGCTTTATACACATCTTTTAAATCCAACTTTGTCTACAGCGTGCACTATAGTCAGTAAACATTTAGAAATCTTCACATGCTCAAAGTATCTAAAATTTTGCTTAAATCTGTTTTAAGTCACATGTTATGTTACTCAGCTATTTTCTGAGTACTCTACTGCTTCTTCAGTCGTGTCTGACTCTGTGCGACCCCATAGATGTTAGCCCAGCAGGCTCCCCCATCCCTGGGATTCTCCAGGCAAGAACATTAGAGTGGGTTGCCATTTCCTTCTCCAGTGCATGATAGGAAAAGTGAAAGTGAAGTCACTCAGTCGTGTCCAATTTAGCGACGCCATGGACTGCAGCCTACCAGGCTCCTCCATCCATGGGATTTTCCAGGCGAGAGTACTGGAGTGGGGTGCCATTGCCTTCTTCGCTGAGTACTCTAACACCTTTAAAAACATGAAAAAGACAAAAACAATGTAGTTAGGGATCTCTGTGCTACTAGTATCATTGAGACCTATCTCCCTTGGGCACAAGACATTTGGAAGTCATTTAGGTTTAAAAGAGCAGCAGGATATTCTGGTGTATAAAATTTTCATATTCTAGACTTTTGTCATTAGCATCTTATTGTAAAGGAAAAAAACTAAATAGAGGCAGATAGCTGAACACGATTTGCCTAAAAGTTAACTATTTTCTTGTTTATCAGATTATGAATGTAACACTTTTCACCTTTGTGAGCTGTTAGTATTATATTGTAATGTAATAAAATAACTGAAGGTCATCATAATAACTTGAATCAGCAAGGAAAGATTGCATTATGAGCAGAATTCTGTGTTTTAAAAGCAGGATAAATTTCTGAAAGAAGTTTCCTAAAAGTAGTTAAAATGTTGGCATTCAAAGGATAAATCTTAAATATCTCATGTAAAACACTTCAGCAATTCAAGAAAGATAACACTAGTTTATTATTTTTTTCTAGACCTCAGACATATGTGGATCATATGGATGGATCTTACTCACTTTCTGCCTTGCCATTTAGTCAGATGAGTGAGCTCCTGACTAGAGCTGAGGAAAGGGTTTTAGTCAGACCACATGAACCTCCTCCACCTCCACCAATGCATGGAGCAGGAGATGCGAAACCCATACCCACCTGTATCAGGTATGTCATAACAAGCACATGATGTGTTTATCACAGGTGTTGGTAGCCTTTTTCCTTAAGGCCCTTGTAGTAAATATTTTCGACCTTAGGAAATATGGCTTCTGTCACAACTGCTCAACTCTGACATTGATGAGTGGAAGAAGCCATGGACTATACATAAACAAATGAATGTTTGTGTTTCAACAAAGTTTTATTTACGAAAACAGGGATTAGTTAAGATTTGGCCCATGGGATGTAATTTGCCAGTCTCTGATAAGAGCTCACACATTCTCTTGGGAAAATTTAGCTAATGATCATTTAAAGATAAATGTGTTTTGTTTTATTATGGCTTTGTTCTCAAGCACATGATGTGCAATATATTAATAAAAATAAGAATTTTTGGTTTGTGGTTAAGGACAAAGAAATGGGAACCAAAGATTTAATTATAAATGTTGATTTGATGTTGGGGAAATAACTCTTTGAGAATTTGAGAGAGAATAAGCAATTGCTCATAATCTTTTAGTAAAGCTTTTTGAAGTTTAATTTTGTCCAGTGTTATCCACATTACAATTTTTTAATAGAGAATTAGAAATCAGCTTTACAATTTTCAGTTAAAAAAAAATCAAGCTTATATCAGACTCATTTGATGTTCGTTCCATCCTTAGGAAGGAAGAGGGACATCAATTTCCTTTGTGGTTTGTAATTAGTTGTCGTGATTTAACTGAAATGACATATGATGAGTCTTAATAGCTTCAATATGAATACAGTATTGTTTGGGCCACAGGTATTGCTGCAAATTTGTAGCATACATATAGCATACTACAAAATGTTGTAGTATGATAGATATTGAGCCATTATGAAGACTCATATTACATATAAAATTGAGCATTTTATTTATCAAAATATAAAATGCTTATAGATATAAAAGTTGTGTGAGCAGTCCATTTAGAATATTAGAAATCACAGCACCACATATTAATTTTCTTATTAATGTACTTTTGGTTTTCATTTCATTCTAAATATTGATGAAGAATTTTTAATTTTTATAGGAACATATTAATGCATCTACCTTGATATAATTACTGGTCACCATTTATATTTTGTGTGGTTAGTCCTTTCTGTTTAAATAACTTGCTAGGATCTCTTTTTCATTTCAGTTCTGCTACAGGTTTGATAGAAAATCGTCCTCAGTCACCAGCTACAGGCAGGACACCTGTGTTTGTGAGCCCCACCCCACCACCTCCTCCACCACCTCTTCCATCTGCCTTGTCAACTTCTTCATTAAGAGCTTCGATGACTTCAACTCCTCCCCCACCAGTACCACCCCCACCTCCACCTCCAACCACTGCTTTGCAAGCTCCAGCAGTACCACCACCTCCAGCTCCTCTTCAGATTGCCCCTGGAGTTCTTCATCCAGCTCCTCCTCCAATTGCACCTCCTCTAGTACAGCCCTCTCCACCAGTAGCTAGAGCTGCCCCAGTATGCGAGACTGTACCAGTTCATCCACTCCCACAAGGAGAAGTCCAAGGGCTGCCTCCACCCCCACCACCGCCTCCTTTGCCTCCACCTGGCATTCGACCATCATCACCTGTCACAGTTGCAGCTCTTGCTCATCCTCCCTCTGGGCTACATCCAACTCCATCTACTGCCCCAGGTCCCCATGTTCCATTAATGCCTCCATCTCCTCCATCACAAGTTACACCTGCTTCTGAGCCAAAGCGTCATCCATCAACCCTACCAGTAATCAGTGACGCCAGAAGTGTACTTCTGGAAGCAATACGAAAAGGTATTTTCTCAAGAGCCTTTAAAAGCATTGCAATAGTAGCATTAAGAACCTTTCTGAATATTTGAGACAGTAATATTTTCTTCATTTGTAAAATTTTAGATAATCATGTTTTTTGCACAAATAGGCTTTAGAAAGTAGAGCTATGGTCAGTTTATATTTTAAGTAATTTTCAAGAAAATTTATCACATTATTTTATCTTCATACTTAGTAGGGAGTCTTAAAATGTTTATGTAATGAATGGGAAATTTAAAATATCAGACTTAAATGTTATGGAAAATTTAGTTAAAATTTGTATTATACTTAATATGTATATTAACTACTTTAAAAATGGTATTTTCTTCCTTGTTAAGGCTGTCCATTTGGTGTGTAAGTGACACTTGCTTTACTAGTACCTTGAAAGGATTTAGGTTCCTACCTTAGTAACAAAGGAATGACTTGTTATACTATATGCCAGGCACTAACAGTATAGAATGAATAATAGTGCCTTTCTCTCAAGTACTGGGGAGAATAAAGCCATGGAGAATATGCTCAACAATGTTTAATTATTTGACCATAGATGTAACAAATGAAAAAAATGTATCACCTGGTTAACTTCAGATGATGATGAGTAGGGAAGCACAATAGACTGTTATGGCTAAATAAACTATAGACATCCTCTGGGATATGTAGTAAATTTCATCAAATACTATCACAGATAACATAATAAAAGAATTAATGTCTCTCTAAATATGATTCATTCAAATCATTTTTAATAGATCTTTCTTTTTACTTTCCTGTTAGTATTTCTTATGTGTACTTCATTTTATTAGATTAATAATGTCTAATAATATAATATCTAGTAATAATAGTAATATATAATATATATAATAATAATAATATCTAGTATTTTGGTTTACAATGAATGTTTGAATTTACTCTATCAGGTATTCAGCTACGAAAAGTCGAAGAGCAGCGTGAACAGGAAGCTAAACATGAACGCATTGAAAATGATGTTGCCACCATCCTCTCCCGTCGTATTGCTGTGGAATACAGTGATTCAGAAGATGATTCAGAATTTGATGAAGTAGATTGGTTGGAGTAAGAAAAAATGCATTGATAAATATTACAAAACTGAATGCAAATGTCCTTTGTGGTGCTTGTTCTTTGAAAATGTTTGGTCATTCCAGTGTTTTGCTTTCTTTTCCTTAAGGTAAATAACTCTTTTCCTCCATAATTTTTGATTTTTAAGAAAAATATTAGCATACATTTCAAACTAAATGTTTTACAGTGGCTTATTTTTTTTATTTTTCCCTGAAAAGACATCATTTGGTCAAATAAACCACTAAGTATTAAGCATGGACAGCTGTTGTTAGAGTAGCAGATTCAGTTTTTTGATATATCTTAATTGTGCACTTTGTGAATTTTAATTTAAAGAAAGCAACTGAGATTAAAAATCTTGCGGGCAGCTGTATCTATTAATGAGCCTTATCCTATTTCCTGGTGTTTTAAAATAAGAAACACTGCCTTGATTATATGAATACACTCAGAAAGTACATTTAGCTTGTAGTATTGAATTCTCTTAAAGGAATGCTTGAATTTTTTTAATTATTGTTTTATTGTTTTAAAATACTTGCCTTATTTGAATGTTTAGCAGTATCCCCTTCCTACTTATATATTGTGTGATACAATTTTGCTTGCTGATAAGAGTTTAAAAAATTTCCATGTGAAATACACTGACATAAACCATGTAACTTACATAACTCTTAAGAATAACAGTCTGCTTTAATAAATGGTTCATTTTAAAGGTTCATGGGTGTTTCCTCTTTGAATAAAACTTTGATAGTTTATCAAATAATATAAGCTCTAAACAGTCAATAGAAAATTTAAAAGCTACTTATGCTGTTTAATTTCCTTAAGGTAGCTTTTATGTCATTTTTCCTAAAGTCAAAAAAATCAATATTTTTCAACTCCTTATGCTCATAAATTAAACTCTCAACTTGCTCTTTAATTTTAGCACATCTTGACTTCAGTTCAATAGCATTCTTGAAATTACACCTTGCAATGATAAAATTAGTTGTTAATATTTACACAGTCCAGATTCAGGGATGGAGGAGAAACAGCATCCATATCAGATTATTTAGTATGAAGAAAAGACTAAGTGACATTTTGGTAATTTGACTGTGAAAATGACTGGAATCTTTATCCTTGCCTCTATCGCATCAGTAGAGGGGTCCCTCTTACCCGGTTTCTCCCATTAAGAAATGGGTTCTGTTCTAACTCCTTTGAACCTGAGTGTCCCTGAAGCTTGTTTTGGCCAAATGTAGTGAAAGAAGTTCAGCATTGCCTGTTAGAAGTTCAGAAACCTCATGCAGAGAGCTATCCCCAGTGAGGCCAACTTAGACCAGCCAGTTGCAAGCTCACCTGCTGGCTGACTGTAGACAGATGAGCAAGCATAGCTAAAATTAGCCCAGCCCAGAACTGTTCATGAGTAAAGATAAATGTTTATTGTCTTATACCTACTTTTTGAAGTGGATTATTTCACATAGCATTGTGGCAATAGGTAGCTGATACATGAGGTTGTTGGTAACTTGCTACCTTGAGGGTTATCTAGGCAGTTAACTAATGATCTCTAATCCTTGTAGAAGAGGAAAGATGAACTAAGTCCTCCTGTTAGCAGTACAGTAAGGAAATAAAAAACAATTCTTGATGGCTTTAATAAAAAAAAAAAAGATTGGCTTTGCTTTGTTGAGTAGATTTGCCTGGACCATAGCCATTTGAGGTTTCTTTCCAACCTTAAAAACCTAGATAGTGTTGAATTTAACTCAAGAAAATATGCGACAGTTTAAAGTTTGTCTTTACAGATGTGCTTATAGTCAAAAGGTAGTAGCTAGTAATAGTTTTTGTAAAGCTCAGTCGTGGCCAGGTAAGTGAAAAGGAAATGATACTGGTATTGGTGAAGTTAAGGGTGATATAAATGGAAATGGTTGAAGATTTTTTTTCTTTAAGTTTATATTGAAGAATAGTTGATCAGCAATGTTATGTTAGTTCCAAGTGTACAGCAAAGTGATTCAGTTATACATACACATGTTACCTATTCTTTTTCAAATTCTTTTCCCATTTAGATTATTACAGAATATTGGGCAGCATTCTCTGTGCTATACAATAGGTCCTTTTTGGTTATCTGTTTTAAATACAGCAGTGTGTACATGTCAATCCCATACTTAATAATAGAAGTAGATCTGTTGTAAAGCCTGGCAGTATGTGTCATAAATAGTTTATGATAATTTTTTTTTTGTTTTTCAGAACATTCCTAGAAGATCAGAAAGTACCCATAGACTGAAGAGGCCATACATGTAGTATTTGTTTTAAAATCAAAATAACCTTTCAGACTAGAGACTTTTGGAGCAAATCATTGAGTAGTTAATTTTAATACCCTAAGAAGAATCAAAGTTACTGGATAATGACCTTTTTTTTTTCTTACTGAATTATGTTACTATTCCACAAGGTCATGCATAACCTTAGAGTTAGAAAAAAAATGAATTAATATATCATGGAGAAATAAGTGGCTTCACTTGTTATGGTTGAAGTCACCCATTTACCTCCATATTACCAAATCCAGTAAACACTCTTCAGTCCTTAATTTATTTGATCTTTATATTCTGCATATACTCTGCCTCCTTGAAACTGTCAGTCCCTCTGGCTTTTTTTTGGTAACACTGTTCCTTCCGCTTCCCAATAATGGTGGAACAGAAGAAGAGGAAGAAAATACTTAGCAGCAGTGGAGTTTTGAATGAAATTTAGTCATTGTGGAAAGAAAGGAAGTGTGTCTATAACTGTTTCTAAGTAAGGGATATTTATCTGTCAGCTGCTGATCTGTAAACTATAACTACTACTTTTCATAACTTATAGTCTGTTTGGGCAGATGAGATGACTTCTGAAGCACTTCCATGTTATAAATATATGTGGCTCAGTGGTAAAGAATCCACCTGCCCAGTAGGAGATGCAGTGATCTGGGTTCCATCCTTGGGCTGGGAAGATTCCCTGGAGAAAGAAATGGCAACCCACTCCAGTATTCTTACTTGGGAAATCTCATGGACAGAGAAGCCCGATAGGCTGCAGTCGTGGGCTCATAGCAAAGATAGGAAAAATGTTCATTTCAGTTCGATTCTGTAAAATTTGAAACTCTACCCTTTATTTCCACTTTTAAAAAGCCCTACCCTTTCTTCAACAGCAATCCCACATCTCTATTTTCATGAACTCTCAATAACTACAGTTCATATTCCTTTTCAGTTTCTCTTAATTCTCTTATAGGCTGTCTTCAAGTGATTCTTAAGCTGTTTTGCATCACAGTTATCAACTATTCAAGCTTGCCAAATAGGTTACTCACAAGACAGCAGGGGCCTTGTGTTAAAAGGCAACTCACAGTATCTCTTCTTACAAATGGGTTCAGAACCATTGAACAAATAGGTTCAAATGGGTTCTGAATGGGTTCTGAAAGAAGAAGTTCTCCTTTTTTGTTCTGTCCACTGAGGCTCTTAAAATCATATCTTCTTAGGCAACATGCCTACATAAAAAAATTTCCCCCACTAATCTCAGTAACAGAATTGACATAGAACTAGTCCTAGCTTCATAAAAACTGTGTGTGTGTGTGTGTGTGTGTGTGTGTGTGTGTGTGTGTGTGTGTGTGTGTATGTGTGTAATTTAAGAAATGGAAAGCATAGAATCAACTCTTCTGGCCAAAACGTGAAAGTTATTCATATTCCTGAAGTAATTTGTTAAGGCAGAGAGCAAAATTGATCAAGTATTTTCATTTAATGGGAGTTCTCATGAATGACTTTCAAAATGTAGCTTTGACTTTGACTTTAGTAAACATACTGCTACTGGGTTTTTTTTTAAGTTTGTTTTTCACTCTACTGTCTTCATCTTGACCCCAGATTTTTTTTAACTAACCTCTCTAAACTGAAACAAGGGTAAATTACTTAATGCTGCTAAATGCTGCTAAATAGTTCCATAAATTCCTTTTGGAAATCATGATCACTGTGTTACCTGCTTTAAAAAATGCAAATAAAACTGTGCAAGATGTTAATCATGCAATATCAGAATTGAAAGCCGGCTTTGCTGCATTGAACTAATGAAAATGAAATATCAAATTACTATATTTCTAAAGTGTGTCATATGACTGTAGTTAACAGAAGTCGTCTTACTAAGGCCAAGCAGAAGGCATAGAGCCCTTGTGATACAAAGAATGAGTCTTTTCCTCCCTTTATTCATTGCTGTACGAAGAACAAATTTATTTATGTTCTCCATGACTTGGCTGTAGAATGCATCAGTAATCTCTGTTGCCTTTCAAGCCTGACAACCAGGCTCTGAATAAAGAATGAATACCAGCCTTGAATGAACATTTCAGGCACTTTTTTTTTTTTGCAGACTAGTTATCAATACCTTTTTCTCATTATTGTAAGGCCAGCTGCCCTGACTCTTCTTCTTTAGGAAAAAAAATTTAAACCCTACTGACCATGTATTGAAGTCACTTTTCTTGGGATGTTTATACTTCTTTTTCCTATAATAAATTTGTTTAGTGATAATTTTGAATACGTTATAGTCTGTGTAAATGTGTTTCTTGTGTAAGTGTGCAATACTCAAAGACTTCTTGAAAAATTTGTAATTTATCTATCCTGCCTTTAGGCTAGCTGTTTCAATACTACTCTTTTGATAAAGGCTATTGATGTCTCCCAGAGTCATAAAATTATACCTTTCTGGCCTGGAAACAATATAAAAGACACAGGAGTCATCAAATCACAATATGTCTTCTGTTGTAACAGCTTCCAGTATTACTTAAAAGTGTCTAGTTCATTCTTACCTATGAAAGCCATGAATGTTACACTTTTAACTTTAAAAAAATCTGTGTGTGTGTCTTAGTCACTCAGTCATGTCCGACTCTTTGCAACCCCGTGGACTAATGTAGCCCATGAGGCTCCTCTGTCCATGGGATTCTCTAGGTAAGAAAACTGGAGCGGATTGCCATGCTATCCTCCAGGAGATCTTGCAGACCCAGGGACCAAACCTGGGTCTTCTGCGTTACGGGCAGATTCTTTGCCATCT